GACCAAGCATTAGAGCGCTGTAAGGTTTTTGTAAAATAGGCATCCTAGACCCAATTTACTTTTTATTTTGACTGATGGAACCAACCAAATTAACAACAGAGAATCGGCTACAAAAGTGTTTCTCAATTGTAAAAACAATTTCATTAAATCATTCTTTTCATATTTTTCGTTTTTTTTTATTATTCTTTTGTGAATGAAGTGATGAATATAATTTAAATTTGCGGCTTTCCTGATTGACTTTTTTAGATCTCCCAATGATCCAGTGTTCGATGCCTAAGTGTGAAGATGGCTGCAGAATCGATTTCAATGCCAAACCTTGTCCCACCTGCACCTGCGTGCTACGTTCTTGTAAGAAAACGTTATTTGCATCAAACTATTTTAATTTCAACTTATTATCTACTGAATTTTTAAATAACTGTTTGTTAACGCAAGTGATTTAATATACAAAGAACAAAATAGTTCTAGATTATAATTGTTTTAAGTTGCAAAATTCAATGAGCATTACTAAAGTTCGCTAAGCAAAAATATCATGAAATATAATTAACTTCAACTTTGTTTTGTAAATAGAATTCAACATCTTTAAATCTAGTTTCTATATATTAAAACTATCGTCAAAGAATTTCTTTATAAAAATATCGCTGAAAAAAAATTGAAATTTATATCCCTAACTTGTAAAAGCCAATTGGTGAAAAACTCGACCACACATTTTGAAAAATTCTTCCAGTAAATATGGCTTAATTTCTTAAGAAAATTTTTTTATATAAAATTGTTCTTAATCAGATTCATAAAAATTGTTTTTAGCTGTTTTCTGCAGATAGCTCTAATTGAAATTATGAGAGCTTCAAGTTGGTCCAAAGTCGATAAGTCAAAATTTGTTTTGTGACGATCCATTTATTTGGATTAAAAAATATGTAACAATTTTAAAGTAATAGAGATTAATACGAAGTGATCAGTTTTCTATTTTTACCATGTGGTTGATTTAATATTCGACGTAAAAAAGGCGATGGGAAATGTAATAGTAAATTTTGTTGATTAGATTATGGTATTGTGTGTAAGTTGCATTACTGATATACTTTTCACTTTTATTAAACTTATTTATTCAGGGATCATAGTTAATAAAAACACCAACAGATGTCACTAGGAGCTGGTTTTCTTTTCCCTTTTTTGCGGATTCCTCAAATGAATGCAGCATTTGTACAGTCGTGTTGAGAATTGATATCAATGACGCATATATTATGGTTTGTTAGGTTTATAAATAGCTAAGCAATATATTTTCACTAAAAATACATTTTAAGAAATGTCTCTCTTTACTTTTAATTAATTTTCCGCTACATTTATTTACTTTATTATAAGTTGTAATTTACTTCCTGTAACAGATTTTAAAATTATTAATACCTACTTTGAATATACTAAATGAAAAGTTTAAAATTTCATAAATCATTTCCTGTTTTTTTTTCTTTATTATTCATTCATGCAATGATCACCTAGGGGAAAAAAGGCGAATACTTCAAAAAAAAGTATAATAATAAATCGTCCACGGAAAACAACTGCCATCTGCCAGGCAATATCAGTGTCAATGATTGATCATAAGTTTTAGGAGCCCATCAATTATGTTATTTTGTAAATTTAATTGCAAGTGATTGAATTTTTATTGCAAAAATGGGACTTTGGTATGCAAATTATGTATTGCTTGAAATGAATTTTATCAAAATATTAAACATTTTTTGAGGAACACTCCGAAAGAAAAAAACAAGTTTAGTAATTTTCTTCCCCCGAAAAATTTATTAATAAAAAAATTTACATCATGGTGTCATAAATTATATATCTTGTGCTATTTTTCACGTAGTCGCCATCGACATTTAGACATTTGTCGTTACGTGCAATCAGTTTGTCGAAATCCCTGTGGTAAAACTCGATATCCTGAGATGCAAAGAATTGCCGTCCGCCTCTAGCTCTGATTTGAAAGGAATTTTCTCATTGGGGTGAGCTTGAATGATTCCTCGTTATTAAGGGTAATGTTTTTGGCCCACGTCTCATGGCCTGAGAGGATTCTGAACAGGAACTCATTTCTTTCCATATTCTTTCTTTTTCTCACTTTTCGGTAACCCAAAATAATAAGGATAAAATGTAATGAACCTAAGCACGAGCAATGCGCAGTGGGGACGCCCCTCTGACATCTTTATGTGCTCGTCCGTTAACACCAGGGACGTCTTAAGACATGGGCCAACTGAACCTGGGCTGCAATGGGAGCCTCGTCTCGTTCTCGACTCAGCCTCAAGAACATCATAATTCGAATACTTTCAAGGATCCAATGTTATTTTCTGTTGTATTCTCCGAAAAACTGGGAATTTCGGACGATATGTCTTCTGGCTACATGTGATGACCGTCGTCCATGTGCACGCCTATGCCTACCACTATACGCCATCATTACTCATTCAGTTGGTGGTAGTCGCTCGAGCTGGTTTGTATGATCGTAAATTATACACATTTATTTGTTTCGGGTTATTGTTTGTACGAGTATTTGACAACGTACTGTTTACTTTTAAGGCTCATAAGGGGGAGGGCTACAATTGTGTAAGGGTCTAAAGCCCACTTTTGAGAAGGTGCCCAGGGCCTCAAGAGTTTTTAAGACGTCCCTGGCTAACACCTGTCCTCCACTCTAGCAATCTTTTTTTCATTCGTGGATGCGGAGGGACGGCCACTTCGACCTTCATTCTTGACGTTCTGATTCGACAACAAATATTTGATGAAACATGTCCTCTTCAAAATACATGGTCTATAGGCATCCATGGATCACGGGCACACTACTCTCACGTTTTCATTCATGCCAGATTACAGCACGCACCTCTATTGCTGACCCGTCGTCCGTACATGTCTGCGTGCCATAGTGATTTACACTCGAATGACCTCGGGCACGCCAGCCCGCTACTACTCTCTCTTCATTGGTGATCTCGCATCCGTCATTTCTCCAACGCTACTTCCGTAGTTTAAACAGCAAAGATCGCAGTTTTTCATGGTGATTGATTGTGTTTCACCTGATGTACTATCTAATCTTTCAAAAAAAAGAGTGACAGAATTTATTTTCGGAACGTTCCTCGCATGTGATCCAAAATGAATAGAACTTAAAATTTTCTCGTTGTTTTTTGTTTTCAGCTCCACGACGACCGCCTCAATGCTCCTTGCCTAGATGCGATCCTGGCTGTGAAATCGACTACAGAGCCTCTCCTTGTCCAACTTGTGTCTGCCGAATGCAATTCAACTTTTGGTAAGTCTCCTGTTCTGTACCTTTCAATGCAGTTTTAACTGATGTAAGGAAATCCATTCCAAACTCGTGCATCAGATATCCATAAATTAGGGTTGTAAAAAATTTCAATTCTCATTTAGATTAAATTATACTATATGTATTTATTTATTACGTTTCTAGAGTGGATTGATTATTTATGCCCAACTCCAAAGTACACTTAGTACAATCCGTAAATTTTAACCTCTATTTGATGACGAGTTCATCACATAGGCCGGCATCCCACATCACGTGTTGCAAATCTGCTACTTTATCTGTTATTCAAACAATCGGTAGACTTAAATTTACTGTAAAAGATCCCGCAATATTTTATAGGCAACCATATCCAGACGAGTCCCTTTTAGTAAAAAATAAATAAATGAATTACAGTATATTTTCCGTAAATTCTTGATAAAAGTATTTTTTTACGTATGGAACATATGGCAAGCAGCATTGCATATTCTAAAGCATGGGTGGGCAGACTTTTACATGGCACGGTCTACTTTTAATTTTTTCAAGTTGTTGCGGTTCACCATGTAACGTAGGTGTCATGAGCAAAAAAAAAAATCTCAACACAGCATGTATATTATAACAATAATAAATACATAAAATGTGTACTTACCTACATAACTACAGTAGAAAAACTTACTCTTTTAAAACTACTTTTTAAGTAAAACGCAAAAATACAAACATAATAATTATACCCATAAAATTTAATATCAAATGATGCATTTTCAAACAATGCACAATACATCACAAATGAAATAATTTTCTCTTAAAATTACTTCTTATAGCTATAATCTCAATAGACGACTTTTTGTCTTCATCTTATCCGCCCTAATCTTGAATACATCGGTAAATAATTACTGACTGCTTATCTTACACTGGATTCTAAGTGGTCGTCTGTGAAACGGGAATACGTTGCCTTAATTACATTTTTCGTGTAAAATGTAGATTCACACAGGTAGGTAGAGCGAAAGAATGATGTTCAACGAATTGCAGCTATTTTAAAACTGGGTTACCTTACTTCGACTAATAGATTCCAAAAATTATTTTTTACAAATTACGTCCTTTTGAAAGAGAAAAACTTCATTTTCCTCGAGAGATAATATGAACATGTAACATACATTTAGTAATATTTTTCTCATAAACATTGCCAAATGGATAACCCATGAATGCAACTTTTGTGTGATTCTAGTCTAGTAAATTCTTGAAAACATCTCTCAAATTTGGGTTGAAGTTTTATTCACGGGTGTTTCCATTATCTTGTTAACCACCTGTGTTTCTTTTAGTATGCGCTTCTAAGGTTTTATGGGAAGGCGGTCACGCCAGAATGTCTTAGCGGTCCACCGGTCGATCGCGATCGACTTAATGCCCACCCGGTTTTAAAGCTTTTCTCTATAGAAGCATATTTCGATTCTCCCTCTGCATTTTCTGCCAGAATAATATTTATTTGTGTATTCTTTTTTCAATTTCTCTCTACTATTAGATTAGATATATATATCTTCTTCAAATTTGCAATTCGTTAATAAAATACTTTTTATTGATCCACTCAAGTTGAAACACATTTTTTTAGACTTGTAGTGGATGACACTCGATGTTAATACAGTATTTTTAAATATTAATTCATAAATTAAATTAAATTAAAACAATAGAGAATCGAGTAAAAAACAAAAATAATAGTCTGACAGCATATACAGAAAGGAAAGTAGTTCATTGTGTCCCAGTAGCGCAATGGATAGCGTGTTGGACTTCTAATCCGAGGGTCATAGGTTCGAATCCCACCTGGGACGACCTAATTTCTGAGAATGCGAACTCTTTTTTTACTATACTATTTTATTAGAATAATTAAATTTAATGAATGACTAAATAATAGCAAAAAAAAGTCCTACATCATATATAGAAAAGAAGAGGGAAAATCGCTTTCTATTTTGTCACTTAATATTTTGATTCTGACATATGTATATACATATTTATATTAATTGTAATTATTTAATAAAAATAACTAAAATCAAATTTTTCTTTATTGACCTAAGTAGGAATTGACTTAATTTTTTTACATTACTTGTTTTTGAATTCAGAATTTAACTTTTATTAAGAAAAAGTTCTTAATAATTGCTTCATTTTTATCTTTGAAGAAATAGATGTGTGAGTTTGATGAAAATTAATATAATTGTATAAGTTTATATAAGTTTAGTAACTTCGTTTAAATAATATATACGATTTCTTTATGAAATAATAACAACAACAACACTAATAATATATAATGTATAAAATGTAACTAAACAGTCAAATTACGATTTTTTCGTAATATTAAGGAAATGATAGAAACAATTCAATAAGCAATAGTTTTTAACTAACTGTAAATTGTTATTGTGTAAGAGGAATATAGAAAGAAAAGAATACATTTTTGTCACATGTATATAATATTATTTTCAATATTATGTATGGATATTATTAGTTAAATATTCTCTGAAGAATTTATAATCGAAGTTGATATCTCCACGAATATTATAGTCTTTCTGAGAGTGAAAGGCATATATATGAATTTAAGGCTATTTTCGCCATATGTACGAGAGCATGAACTTAACGTGGAGCATATTTCTGACAGAAAAAAATGACTCCATTTTTATAAAGATTTGTGGCATTGTAACTCACGTGTTTGTTTATAATAAAATGTTTTTTAAAATTTCAAAATATTTCATAAATAATTAGTTTTTTTAAATGTAAAGGGATAGCTCATTTAGCATTACGATATAGGAGAAAAAATGCGAAACTCATTTTATAAAAAAAAAAAATGTGTCAATTGGGATAAAAATAAGTAGTATGATAAAATCAGTGATTCTCTACAGGTTAGTGAAGCCAGAATATAATATTAATGTTCAAGTACTTTTATATCTGGAAAAATATTCCGAATTTGGGTCCTATTCTTAAACATTAGCTGAAGACAGCCTTAAAGTAAAGAAAGTACAAACTTAAAACACTTAAAGTATGAAATTAAAGGCATTCATCATGGGATCATTTATATGAAGTACACCATTTATATAATATACCATTTGGTATACTTTTTTGAAAAAGTCATTCAAAAGGTAAAAGTAATCAGAGATGATTACAAATGTTTGGTATTAATTACATGTTCAAAGCTAGAATTTCAGAATGTGTTCATTATATTATGTAAAACCAGGATATGGTATGTAAAAAATGTGCTTTAATTTCCAGGTATCCAATGCAGCCCGCCGAAATGTGAACCTGGCTGCGAAATCGATTACAACACCAAGCCATGTCCCAGTTGCGCTTGCGGAAGCAAGGGTAACCTGTTTTATCATTTCATTCTTCGTCCTTCTCGTTCTAATACGTATTTTTACACAAAACAGGATGGTGCCTAATATGGCCTGTAGAGCTTTATATACAAGTATTAATGTATTTTTAAATTTTAATTTAAAGTTATTCTCTAATTCAGTAATCATATTTTCCTTAACTGTTCTACATATGTGGGAGCCCCTCTTGTTTGTTCAATCACATGAATGTAAGTTGAAAAAGGATATATATATAATTAGAGGACTTTTTCCCCTCTATATTATTTTAACTCCCATGCTAAGGATTCAAAGTTTTTACTGACGTTCTTTCTTGATTGATCCATGTTTGCAAACATTCCATCTATTTTTTGTACCGTTGCATTTCGTTTAAACATTACATTACTTGAACTTATGCTAATATTTTATGACACTCAAAAAATCACGAAATATTTTTGAAAGTGTAAATACTGTGAAGAAAAAAATTTGACAATACTTTCTCTTACAGATGCCAGCGGAATCACGTGCTCCCCTCCAAAATGTGATCCTGGTTGTCAAGTCGACGTGAGCGCCAAGCCCTGTCCTACATGCGTATGCCTAGGAAGCAAATCAGGTAAGTTCTCTCTTTTTTGTGATTCTTTTCATATCTGCACTGATTTGTTTCATTTCAGTCTATGCAGGCATCTATACTAACAGAATATCTAAGGAGATATCCAGTGCTAATGTAATTTAACCATAGTTATGACAAATAAAAAGGAGCCAATTAAATAACTATAGATGCTGGCCATCATGTTAGAAGACACTTTCAAAAAAGATGGAAGAATAGCGGAGGATGACAAATATTGATGATAGTTGCTAATAGAGGAGATGACTTCCTCCTGGAGATAAAAGGTGATGGAGGAAAAACATCCAAAATAAGGAAAGGTATACAAATTTACAAAGCCCTACAAAGCTTCTTTTCCAGTGGCATGTTTGTGAAGAAGTTCTGAGAAAGAAGACTTGGCAAAGTCTGTTGGAATTATGCGAGAGAGCATTTAATTAAAATAAAACGCTCTCGTTTCCTTTTTTATTAATATCTTCGTTTCCATAGAGTATGAATTTGAGTACGTTTCTCTCCAGGTATTTTGTGCTCGCCTCCGAAGTGCAACGAAGGTTGCCGAATCGACTACAACGCCAAGCCCTGCCCCGTGTGCGTCTGCAATGGGCGTACCACAGGTGGGAGATTTTCTGCAGATTGGCTTTTTTTTCTTCCACTTTTTTTTTTCATTTCTGAATATGTTTTCATAACTGTTTTCAATTTTTAGAATTTTATTTCGTTTGTTCTCATCCTTTTTAATCTCTGATTATTTCAGGAGTGTCGGGTATTCTCTGCTCACCCCCCAAATGTGATCCGGGGTGCAAGATCAACTATGATTCTAGGCCGTGTCCAAGCTGTTCTTGTGGAGGAACTCCAACAGGAGGTACATAATTAGGTTACTATAGTATAGGAGTGGCCAACCCAAATGACCACTTTGGAAGAACTTTACAATCCCGCGGGCCTCATATAAGAATATATATCTTTATATTACATTTGGATCCATTACAAACATTTGTTGGAGTGAAAATTTAAAACAGACTGATATATTATTATTGTTTTCATTGTGTTTCATGTATATACAAACATATATAACATAATAATAATAATAATGCAATGATCAAAAAATGTTTAGTTTTTTAATTAGTGAGATATATGTTTCTCAACTCGTTCACTTAATTTTTGCAAGTCGATCTCAATGCATGTGTATTTGCGTATCGTAATTGAGGTTGCAGATTTTCGTGCGTTAAGTTTGAGCACACACGATTTATGTTAGATGAATTTCAATTTAGAAAAAAAAGAGATTCTCTCGCAGTAACAGAAGCAACGTGATAAAATAATAAGTTATGGGATTTATTTTTTACAAAAAAAAAAATCTTTAAACAAAAAATATTGTACAAAATAGTCGAATTTTGTAAAGTTGTAAAGAATCTCGCGGGGTGCAAAATTATTCAAAGCGGGCCGCGGGTTGGACACCCCTGCTATAGTCAGTGCTTTCCAAACTTTCAATATTTGCGACTCAATATTCAATCATAATTTTCATCACACCCCTCTCTATGCAATAACAATGTATTGAATTCAATATTACTATACCTTGTCGCTGAAGCTACAATACGACTTCATCCTTTTAAGTGCCACCGGTGTATATAAACATCTCCCTCAGCCAAAGCGTTAAATTCCCCGGACGTATATATACACCTTTCTGAAGTACGATCTTTTCTGTGCACTGCATCCATAAAATTATTCCGAAGGCTTTGGAATGCAAAAAAAAACCTTGACAGTGTTTGTGAAGGATTTACTTATTTCAGAGCAGCTTTTATTTATTTATTCCTTCTCATTCCTCCCACCCAATACATCACATACGCGTCCCTACGAGCAAAACGATGGCATTGGGAAGTGAATCCCGTAACTTTTAATCGGCAGTTTCGGGATTAATTATAAACCGTATAAATTATCAAGATAATCTTGCTTTTTGTAAAATTGTTATACATGACAAGCCCATGGGGATCACTGATAATTATTAAACTTGTTGTTAACTTAGTATTGTTAAATTAATTATCAAGTACATTGCGTATAAATCCGATTCATTTACGATAAGTGATACGAGTGCCATATGTACGATATAAGTGAGATATAAGTACGATATGAGTGCAAATGTGTAATTTATATTTTATTATGTTAGAGTGTATTTTGTTTGTTTACTTTCAGTAAATTAATAATTTTTGTTTAAATAATCTTTTGTTTTCGACTTTTCGATATGCTCGCGCCCTCCTCGCAGGGTTATCACGCCCCTCAAGGGTTGTCCCGCACAGTCTGAGAGACGCTGCTATAGTAGGATCGGCATTATTATTGCCCAGTTTTAGTTACAGAAAGCTGGACACTTCCTATTTCTCGTCTCGTTTTTATCCAATTTCGTGTGGGCGTGTAGCCTAGTGGTTATGGTTATGAAACCGTGGCCAGAGTGTCTCGATCTCGAGTTCTGGTGCCACTGAAGATCCACAGTGTAGTGGGGCTGATGCACGCTAAATCTGTCGGAAGTTCAATGTCTTTCCATTTGTGGGGTAGTTAAAAGAGGGAGTGAGGTCAGGTGTCGTCCTTGTCATTTGACCGAGGTTCGAAATTACCAGGTCCGTGACCAATAGCTCATGTGTTGTTTTGTAGCGCGATGTTCATATAACTCATTGACCTCCTATTTCGCTTACGCGCTTTCGAAAGAATATAATTAAAATATTCAACGCTCGACGTGAAACCATGTACTGGAATTTCCTTAAATTTTATTGTATTTGATTTGCTTGGCATGCTTTATGTCCGGAACTATCTTGCTTTTTGGAACTTATTGATTCTCCTCCTCTCTTGTGTAGTGACTCTGTTTTTAACACGCTTTTATGAGTTTCACTTGTATGTAATGGAATCTTTGAACTCGATT